CTGTGGTATGTAAATATAGTATTATCCCCAAGGTGATTAGGTGTCGAATTGATGTAAAGAATTTACACCTCTTTAAAAAATTGACATTAAAAAAATTTGTAGATGCCACAAAGAATAGCGATTGCTATTTTCATAGATTCACAGATTCCAAGGTCAGAAGAGACCATTGTGATCATCTAGTGTGGCCTCCTGTATAACACAGGCCATAGAACTTCGCCCAAATAATTCCCAGATTATATTTAAAAAAAAAACATCCAATCTAAATTTGAAAACTGCCAGCAGTGGAGACAGTATCAGTGAATTTAAAATCTAAGAACATTAAGAGAAGACAGAGGGGATGTGAGAACAGTTTTGAAGTACATAAAAGGTTGTTACAAGGATGAGGGAGAAAAATTGTTCTTCTTAAACTCTGAGGATAGGACAAGAAGCAATGGTCTTAAATTGCAGCAAGGGAGGTTTAGGTTGGACATTAGGAAAATCTTCCTGTCAGGGTGGTTAAGCATTGGAATAAATTGCCTAGGGAGGTTATGGAATCTCCATCTTTGGAGATTTTTAAGAGCAGGTCAGACAAACACCCTGTCAGGAATGGTCTAGATAATACTTTGTCCTGCCATGAGTGCAGGGGACTGGACTAGATGACCTCTTGAGGTCCCTTCCAGTCCTATGATTAATGCACAACGGTCTCTCATTCAAAACAACCTGGACATGCAACAATCATCTTCTAAATATGGTAACTTTAAGGGAAACCTAACAATTAAAAACAGGTGCAGAAGAAAGGCAACCAAGAATGGCGTTTGCACCTACTGTGTGGGAATGGGGCATGGACGTGTCTCCAACAGGTAGTTTTGTCACTTCTTCAGCAGAATGTTACACACACGCAGTCCAATGCACTGTGCACACGATTACAGCCTCATGCTCAGAGTCAGCAAGTGATCTCGGGCAAGTCACATACTCCATCTGCAAAATAGGGGTAGCATGCACTGCCTGAGGACTAATTAATGTTTAGAAAGCCCCATATGAAATATTATACATGCATGTAAAAAAGGCTAAGGCTACTAATGGACGGAGAGAGAGGCATAAATAAAGTGAAAGGTGTTCTAGCTACAGCTCAAATGTGCAGGTCTCCATCCATCTAGGAATTGTTGTGGCTCTAGCACATCCAAATGTTGTTCTAAGCCATTCATCTTGCATAACTAGAAGAATAATTTCCCTAAGATGCAGCATGAGATGCCCAAAAGAGCCTCTGGTCTTATGAAATACAACAGCCTGAAAAACAATGGAAACAGCAGCATTTGCTCTTTCATAGGTTTGGATAAAGATAAGGAGAATGGTCTCAAGGAAGACGCTTAAAACATTTAATGTGTTCAATACAGAGACAAAAAGCAAATAAAAAGAATAGATACAAAGGAAAGCCCCAAATGACACTGTTCAAATATATCCCCCTGAACGGCCTGGAGGGCAGGACGGTAAAGGCAGGGAAATGAGACCCTGGATTTGAATGCTTGCTTAAAATGGAGACTACACAGCATTTCCAGCAGGAGTTTAACACCTATTGGCAAACAGAAGATCTTCTCAAATGCATCCCTTCCCACTCACTTATTTTTCCACCACTAAGTGTTTTCCTCCTACTCCACAGTTGCATCAGTTTAGCAACTTTGATAAATTTAACCCTATATATTTTAGATATTACGAATTTTTAGTTAGGTGTCACATTTATTCTCTTCACCACCCCGTACAGCAGTCGCTTTCCAAGGGCTCCATCCAGCCATCTCCCAGACTCGGCATTCCCTCTATCACACTTCTCACTAGAATGTGGGAATGTGAGTGCTCTGAAGACTCCTGCCCTAGCGCCTTCCCTTCTGGCAACCCTCATCCCACAGAACAGACACTCATGGCAACAAACAGTGACTACTACAGCATATGCGATTCCTCAGATGGCTAGAAATGCAGCAGTGGTCTGTCCCGTGCAGTGAGTGGAGCATACCAGCATTCAAGGTCAGAGATGTGCACACAAGCACCTCCCACTGTCCCTATGTTTTTAAATAATTTAAATACCCTTTACGTAACCACTTTGTGAAAGAAGAGGTTTTCTAGGAGCCTCATTTGTTTCTTCAAGCAGCAGTTTTACTTTCAAATAACCCCTTTTGTTGCTAACATTATTATGAATTTAAGCCATTTCTTTTGTTTAGAGTACAGTCCTGCTAGTGGAAAGGACCAATCATTACAAGTATGTTTTAACTAGATGGATGGTAGATCCCTTTTAGGAGTTCCCCATCCATACAGTTAGCACAGATTTCCCGCATGCTCTGCGGCTGCTCCCTGTCTTCCCACAAGAGAGAACCTTGTTAGCGCTGTAATTCAATTCTGCTCCATTCAAGTCAGTGGGAAGTCTTCCATTGAGAGCAGGCCTTAGAACATCTCAGTGCCTCCTTTATATAATTACCCTCAGTAGAAGGCAACTAGGGGAGAGTGGATAGGCAGCTGAGAACCAGGCCTCCCAACCCAGCAGATCCATAACTGGTGCTACACCTCCCATTCTTGGCCCCACCCCCAAAACCCTATGGATTGATACATACCCTGGTGCACAACATGGGTTCTCAGGAAGGGTTGCACACACCTCTTCATGTCCTCTAGGTTGTTCCCTCCACGCACCTCAAAACCCTGCCCCATACACTAGTGGAGAGATCAGTTCAGGCCATTGGGGTTTTTCCACTCAGCCTTTTCATACCACAGCAGTACAAATACCAATTCTGCTTTGTCTCACTTAGAAAGGGACAGTAATGACCTTTAGAAAGCTGTCTGATCCCAGTCCAAAGCCATGCATTCCAGCAAGGGAGGCACTTACCTCACCACATTTCACAGTGGTTCTGTAATCAAAATAGGGTCCAACTTCCTAGTTATACTACTGTGAATGCAACAGTCACGGTCCTCAGTGAGAGATCGTACTGTGCAATACTGCTCAGTCTCATCATGGCTAAGACGCAAATGGGTCACAGGATGCCTGCCTGTCTGATGGGCTAATGCTGACAATGGCCAACTGGTGGCAATACTCTGGGACTACTGGAGTGTGCCTTCTACTGCCAGGAGCAGGAGGGGACCACGATTTATAGGAAAGAAAATGGAATCCAGAATAAGGCTGGTGGAAATCTAGTGCACTACTGGGCCAATGTAATGTGAGTGGTATGAAAGAAGGGAGGGTGCAAACATACCAATAATCCACTGTCTTCCCATCCCAAAAGAATGCCAAGACAAACATTAGCATCTTCCTGGCTGGGAAAAGCATTAATGTAGGATGACAATTCTTTCGGTGCTTTAAAATAAAAAAATGTTCTACTCAAACAAATCTCCCCAGGCCTCAGAAAGCCAAAGTAAGTTCCACCTAAGAATCCTCCCCCTACAGATTTATAGCCACTTTTCAGGAGTGTATTTTCAAGAGCAAAAAGCAGGAACTATTACATTTCAGCAGCAGACGCTTGCCCTGCTTGTTAACTGTTGTAATTAATCAAATTGTCTATTGCAGAGGTTCTCAAACTGTGGTCCGCGGACCACCAGTGGCCCACGAGCTCCATTCAAGTGGTCCGTGGATAGTTCCCTCTATGGTGCGCACCTTGGCGGCCGCACATAAGAAAATGAAGGGCCACGCACCTAATTAGCGGAGCCACGGCTTCACTAATTAGGTGCCTGGACCCTGGAGAGGACGCACATGAAAGGTGAAGTGGTGGCCTTGGGGGGTATAGTGGGTAGGTGGGAGGGGGCAGTGGGGTGAGAAGAGGGGGTGGAGGGGAATTTAGGGCTGTGGTGGCCAAAGAAAGAGGTGACTTTCCCCAGCTCCAGGGCTGTGGCTGCCAGGGAGAGACAGCCCTCCTTCCCAGCCTCAGCTCTGTGGCTGCTGTGGCGGGGGAAGATACCCCCCTCCTTCCCAGCCCCAGCTCGGGGGCTGCCGCAGCAGGGGAGAGAGGGCACATCCATCACATTAGAAAGGTAAGACTACTGATATTAAAATATGAGTTGTGTGCTTTTATTTGTAGAATAAAAAACTTTAAATTATTATTAAGGTTTTTTTTTTAATATAGCGCTTTTATCCAAAGCGCTTTACAATAGTTAGCTAACGGTACAAAACATTTGGAAAGATCATTAAGTGGTCCGCTGAGACCCTCAGCAATTTTCAAATGGTCTGCAGGAAAAAAAAAAGTTTGAAAACCACTGGTCTATTGTAATATGGAGGTAGCTCTTCTAGTTGGTTACTGATAATAATGTGGACTGTAGCAAGCTATGCGACTGAAACAGCTTCGTAAAGAGTTCTCTAAAGGCTATTCTGTAAAATTCAGCTTCTTATTTCTCAAAAATACACATCTTGGTTTTTCGTAAATAGCTTATAAAATAAGGCAACTTGAGGAGACATGGCCTTACGAGGTAAATCACACCCTCTGTTAATTAGGTACTGTAAGTATTCAAGATCAAGTCAAACAAATTTACAGGAATTCCAGTTTAGAAAAGCCACCACTACACCTAGCTTCATGACTCAACACATGAAAATAGGAACAAAGGAAACTGAGGAAGAGATTTCATACACCTTAAAGGTGTTTGTTCACAATTCATTCACATGTAATATTGTCAATCCAGGAACACTTATATTTCCCCCACAAATTAAAAAAAGAATCACTAGTAGTTCAAAGTGTTTCAGATCACTGCAGCTGTAACTGTTAACTGGAAATGAATGTCTACAGAGGACCAAAATATATATATATATATATATATATATATATATATACACACACACACACACACACACACACACACACG